GTAAAATTCCTCCCGCACCTCTGATATGGCAGCCAGTCTGACCCTTAGCAGAGAGGCAAGACCCTCTAGCCAGGAACCTCTGGTGTAAGTCCCAGCAGAAGCACTGGCACACTCCAATCAAAATCCCCAACCTTGGCTGCAGCCAACACCCAATGCCTCTAAAGAAGACAAAAAAGAATACCCGGACATGTGGCAGGAGGAGGGGAAAAAAATTCCCTCCTGGCCCCATGCAGAAACCAGCATAGCCCAGAAGCATGGGGAATACCCACAGTAGAGCATAGGCATAGATAGCTACACCTGGCACCTGGCACCAGCAGTACAAGCCCCTGCCACACTGCTTCTTGCTGACAGTGGCTGAGCTGGCTGCTGACAAAGTGGCGGGGGGCCTCCAGGAGGGGGTCTCTGAGCTCCCACCCTGGTGCAGCACCCCTGGTACTCCAGCCCAGGCTGCCAACTCTGGCCTGCGCTGCCTGGCGCCTAGCTTTGAAAGCTTTTCCATATCAGGAACCCCACCCCACAACCCAACCTGGGGAGCTGGGTCCCCAAACCCCCAACCTGCCCACTCACCCACTCCTCAGACAAGGGCAGGGGGAGGGGAGGGAGGAACTGGCCAGTGATCGGACCTTGGTGGGGTCCAGCCACCCACCTGCCTCCACCACAGTACAAAGGAGAGTCTCATCTTCCCCCTCACAGGGGGAGGCAGCCAGGCTCCCAACTTGGTGGGCACCGTGGCTCAAAGCTTGGAAATGGCAACAGAGATTGGTGAGAAATCAGAAAGCGAGGGGGTCTGAACAGATCATTTTTAACTGAAACCCAGTTCTGTATTTGGTGGTGTTTTATTGTCTCAGGCATTTGGTTTTCAGTGGTTTTGTTCAGAAATGCTCTGGAAATTGTCATGTAACTGTTTAAGAAGGTTTGGTCTTTGTTTTTTCTTTCTTGAAACTAGCCCCTTTCCTTAATCATAAAGATTAAAGGGCTATAACTTTATCCAAGTCATTTGTCTTCTTTATCTCCTGCCAGTTCAGCAGACCATAAAAGTCATTGCAGGACAGAAGCACTTAGCTGTATTTAATACTGAGTGCATTTGAACGCAGGAGCATAAAACAAACTCTGGGTTACTCTCCCTTTAGATCCATGGCCACTGAGAACTCAGCAGAAAATCTTCAGGAGGAAACTACCTGCTCTATCTGCCTGGACTTTTTCATAGATCCAGTGATGCTTATTGACTGTGGGCACAACTTCTGCCATGCCTGCATCACCCAGTGCTGGGAGGAGGCCAACACAGATGTTTTCTGCCCTCAATGCAGACAGATCTGTTCCCAAAGGACCCTCCGGCCTAACCGGCAGCTCAAGAATGTTGTAGAAATAGCCAAGAAGCTGAATAAGCAGGCAGCCAAAGAAGCAGGAGGGAGCAGGTGTGAGAAACACGGGGAAGCTCAGAAGCTCTTCTGTGAAACAGGCCAGATGCCGATATGCCGAGAATCTCGGGTACACAGAGCTCACCCTGTGGCTCCCATCCGGGAGGCTGCCCAGCAGTACAAGGTAAGGAGGCTCTGGCTTGGGTATGACTGCATGGCTGGGTTTGGTTAAGTTACCTTTAGATCTGGCTCTTCCACCACTACCCCTCTCACTGTATCACTGTATTCATTTCTATCAAAGAATCTGCACGTACACATTCACTTGTCCTACAAGGAGATGCAAGAGAGAGCGAGCTTTGTTTGATCAGGTGCTTTTGTTTCAAATATTTTTTGTTAATAAGCTGATATTTCTAGTTCCCTGTTCTTCCCAAGCCACTGATTGTCAAAACTGCTGCTTATTTGCAGTTTGGAGATTCTTCATTTAAAATCCTCAGCGGAATAGAAACATGTCAAACATTTTGTCAAATAAATTTTATAAGAATTTGTATTTGAAAATCATTTGCAGCTTTTTAATAGAAGGAGTGGCTGCAGGGGACAGTATTTTATGGATGCTTTCATATTAGCCCCCTGCCCCCAGAACATGAATTTGGTCTTGCAGGCAGTAAGAGCAGGAAAAATATGGCCTAATCAGTTTGATTTGAGTAAATGCAAATAATTTTTTTCTGATTATTGTTCTGTTCTTTGGTGATACGACAGCAGTACTCTATAAACCTATAAGGCACAGTGGGATCTAGTTCATACTGGTTAGTAATTGAAGGCAAATATGCAGGGCCTAACTGAAGGCATCACGTAACTCTGACTGGTTTACGCTGATATGCATAGGACACAAGAGGGCTTACATACTGCCCTACTCCCATATATTATAGTTGCTGTGGCCAGTAATTTGATTAGGTCCCCTTTCTTTTTCAAATTCTGTGATTTCTGCAAATACCTTGGATGCCTCCATTGAAAGAACGGGTATTTGAAATGTCATTTATAATACTAGTGCTATATAAAAGTTCCATAGAGGAGGCCTCTGAGGAGAGACTTGAAGACTGACCATTGTGAATAGTCCCATGATCAAGCTGATGTGCAGGTGCAATGAGTATATTGCTGGGACTGCACACATTTGAGTTCACTATACCTGTTCGCACCACCCTGCACATGCCACCCCAGAAATGCAGGAGTGAAGCCACTCTGGAGGCCTGTTTCTCACTGCCCTTTTCCCTTGCTTCAGTAAGTGCATATCAAAATGTAAGTGCATAGCACCCAGTAAGTGCATATCACCCAGAAGCCAAGGATGGGTAGGATCCATTATAAGAACATCTTACTGGGAGGTCACAGATAAAATTAACAAGAACTCAGATATTAAACAGATGAGAAAGTCAGAATGCAGGTTGACCAGCACCCTTTCTGCCAGATCACAGCCTCCAAGTTCAGGCTCCATCCAGAAGCAGCCGCTTGTTCTTCTCCACATCCAAGTAAGGGCATGGCTGGGGGCTTCCTCTCAATAGTAAGTGGAACTAAAATAGCACCGTTGCTTAGACTTCACACCATTAGTTACTTCAGTCCAGTTCTGTGTATGGACTTTCTCTTATAGGTGTAACATTGACATATTTTTATATGTTAAAGCAGTTCCTTATTGCATTCAGGTAAAGATATCAAACACTCTAAAGTGTCCAGATTTAACCAAAGTCATTTAATTAAACCTGTCATTTCATTTGGTGAAGAAAAATGTGAATGACAACATTCTGCCTCTCTCTACTCCCCTCATCTCCCCACTGATTTTTACATCCAAATTCTGGTATTGTCCTACCATCAGGCCTCTCTGAGGGAAGAGAGGAATTTTAGGTTTGAGATTCCGAGTTATAACACGGCGATGAAAATGGGGAATCTGGTAGGAGAAATTCATCTTTATTCAGGCTCTTTAAGACTCTTCTCTTTTAGTGTTTGCGTGGAGACAGCTACTGTGCATTAGAAAGCTTGGCAGGAAACCTCTGCATAAAACCTCAGTTCACCTGCCTATTCAGTAGAGGGACTCAAAAGCACAAAGCTCCCAGTCTGGAGCCATTTAAAAATGTTACTCAGCAAACTCCTGAAAACAGACAGAAGGGCCGCTTCTCTGGAACAGTAAAAGATCAGACTAGAGAGTGTTTTAAATACATACAACCTCCTGGGCTGCTTTGCTTTGTGATGAAGACAACAAATAGGACGCTACCCGAGTCAATCTGGCCTGCACTCTGCAGGGCTGGATGTCAGACCTGACATCTGTGTAGATGCAGTCAGTGCTTCATCCTCACCATTCCCATTTCCAAACTCCAACATAACTGGGGTGTACACAGGGTAGGACAAGCCCCTTTCTTCCATCATCTGCCAGTACATACTTCAAGTCCTGCATGGGCCAGCACTGCATATCGCCACTGGCAGGTACGTGCCTGGCAGGTGTGTGACAAGGGACTTCGAGGAGATGCAGCTGCTTTCTGGTGTCTAATCTTCCTCCAGTCTATACTCGCGGGGTTATAGTCATCCTAATCACAGGCAGTAACAGCACAGGTCCCGTGAATGCAGGGCAGATAAAAATTGATAATTTTTCTTTTTAAAATAAAAAAATCAGATTTATTTTTAAACTTAAAACAGATTTTTTATTTAAATAAGATTTTTTTATAAATTAAATTAAAAAATAAATTAAATTTTCCTTTTCAAAAAATAAACTGTCTTAAAGTGAAATTTGAATTTAATACAGCATAGGATAAGGGTATCACATCTCAGCTTCTTGAAGGCTCAGATCAAGTGTAGTAATCTATTAAAATAATTTTAATAAAATGTGTCAAGTCAATGAGCCTCTAGTAAAAATTCTGGAGTTAAAAGCTGATTTTCTTCCATATAAGAATGAAGGGGAAAAAAATAGCTTCTGAGGTCAAGCTTTAAAAATATGGCACAATATTTCATGTATTAGGGGCCTGACTGCAAAAGATGCAGGGTCAATACTACTGGATGCAAAGGGTCAGCAGAGACATCACAGGTTTTGGAACCTGGCTTCTGACTTCAGCAGACACAGTCATGCCTGCTTACAGGCATTAAAAAAACCAACAAAAAGAAACTCACGAAAAAGCCCAGCACTTCACTTTAAACTTGGCATACTCCTGTGCTGAGCCCAGTGCACATGAATGACGAGTGCCCCTGGAGGCTGGGGGGGCATGGTGGCTGCCCGCAGGCAGTGGCGGGAGCGGGGGTGTGGCAGTGGCAAGCAGGGAGCTCTTGCAGGCAGCCGCAGCAGTGTTGGCAGCGGGGGGCTGTAAGCCTGTTGGTGACCACTCACAGACACTGCTGGCATTGTCAGCGGTGGCCAGCAGTGATCGGCGACCACTCGCAGATGCCACCAGCAGATTGGTGACTGCCCACTGGTGCTGCCGGCAGCGGCGGCGGTGCCCAATCACAAGGGGTGCATCGCCAGTCTCAGGGGGTGCACCCTTTATGTGCTGCCAATGCCAGTGCATACCCAGAAGAGGAATCACGTTAGTTGGACCCAGCTCGCCCAACCTCTGTATAGATAGGGCATATTATTGGAGGTTTTCTTGGTACTTTTATCTAATAGCTGATTGAATCAGTTATTAGGTAACAGCGCCAAAAAGT